TAATCATGCATGATCCAGGTCGGTGACAGAGAGACTTGACCAATTTCAGAGAGACAGAGAGAAACCATGTTGTAAGGTCTTATCACCATCCATGGCATTTAATTAAAATTCAGCCTCCACCTTCCTGGGAACATTCTGCAACTATTCAGGGGTTTTATTTTGAAAATCCTGACTCCTTCGGGATTCCTGGTAAGGTCTTGTCATCATCCAGGACTTTTATTTTGAAATACCAGTGTCTTTTACGCTTATTGGAAACATTCAGTAACTATTTGGGTATTATATTTTGAAAGCCCAGCCTCTTTTAGGCTTCTTAGGAACATCCGTTAACTGTCTTGGGATTTTATTTTGAAAATCCAGTGTCTTTTAGGCTTCCTGGAAACATTTTATAACTATTTGGGGGTTTTATTTTGAAAATCCAGCATCTTTCAGACTTCCTGGGAACATTTTGTAACTATTTGGGGGTTTTATTTTGAAAATCCACTCTTTTTCCGGCTCCCTGGGAACATCCTGTAACAAACAAATGTTTACACCTCATATTCAAAATACACAATAGAAAATATGCACTGTATGTTTTAACAGCTAACATTAAAGAAAATACATATACTTTCTCTTGAATAAACTACAACTCAAAATGTGTACTATGTCTACTACACAATTAGAAAGATACATACACTTAGCTTTTGCTTTAACTTTGTCACACTTATCAACGCAGCATTTGTACATTTAACAAACACAATATTCTTTAAACTGAAACATATTCACACTGTTATTTTACTCATACATTACAAAATGAATATAAACAAAACCTGCTTTCTTACTGAACGACGCTGAGCACGTCTCTATGACGCCGTCTACGTGACTCAAACTAGCAAGCATGCTAAAGCAGGACGAACATTTTCATGTTGTTTAGACTGACTAAATTGACTCGCTAAAGTTTCTCTCGACACAGACATTTTATCAGCAGTATTCATTGTAACATAGAAAACATGTATACTCAGTTAAACATTATTTACAATCATTTTCTTCACCTGAAAGGGGAAATAGAAAGAAATGAAGCAGGACATGATGTTGTTGGCTTCAGGCTCAAACTGTAATGAACGAGCCATCAGCAACATGCCCCCTACAGAACCAGGAAGACCAGAGCAATCAATCAAATCACATCTCTCTACTGAAATAATGGATTACAGACAACTCAAACACCTGATAATTAAACCTGGAGAAATAAAGAGCATCTTAAAATATTATTTAAGTGCATTTTCTCAAAACATCAAAGAAAGAACATTAGAGTCCATTTTAACTGTTGTCTCAACCATTATTTCTTTTAGTGCACATTTTCATATCCATTACACAAGCACCTCCATAGAGTTTCTGGGCATCAACCTGGACTCAAAATCTTTGCAGGCATCTGTCTCTGCCTTCTGACAAAAAAAATCAAAAAATACAACGCATCACTCTGTTCCTGTCAAACTATCTTCTGATGGACAGATGGACCAAACACCAACTACTGTCCCTCCTTGGCCATCACAATTTTTCCATATGCATAATTTCATAAGGGAAATCCTGCCTCTCTAACCTGTTGACCAAAGCTACAGCCGTACCCTTGCTCCATGATAGATTCTTCCTGGATGACGCATGCAAAAAGGAAATGTGCCTTTGGCAACTTTTTCTGTCCTCTTGGAACTGAATTTCATTCAGTCTATGATGACTCCTCACTTATTCAATTCAATTCAATTCAATTTTATTTATATAGCGCCAATTCATAATTTYCATTATTTCAAGGCACTTTACATTTAAAGGTCAAGACCTTAAAACAATATTAACATAGAGAAACCCAACAGTTCCCACAATGAGCAAGCACAGGCGACTGTGGAGAGGAAAAACTCCCTCATTAACAGGGAGAAACCTCTGGCAGAACCAGGCTCAATGTGGGCGGTCATCTGCCTCGACCGGTTGGGGTGAGGAAAGAAAAGTAAGGGGGGAGGAAAGGAGAGATGGGTGGAAAGCGGGGGAGAGAAGAGAGAGATGAGGTGGAGAGAGAGAGACCGGGAACAATTGGGCACCAATCACTATCAGGGCTGACTATAACAATGTAGTGATCTACAACAGGATTAGATATATTAATGAATTACTGAGTTATTTTAATTAATGCTAACAATGTCGATGGTAGTTGTTTTTGTCCTGCAGTCCCGGTGCCGGAGTTATCTGAAACGAGATAGAGAGAAGAGCCAGAGGGACTTATGCTGAGGATATCCAACTTCGACAGACGCAGCTCCTTCCACAGGTTTCAGAGGCTATTGCAGAGGGAGATGGTTCACCTCTACTTGGCCCTTAGAGCTTAAATCTCTTGATTCAGACTCCAGCCGTCCATCATCAGTACTTCATGAGACATATCCAATAATCAAAGCTACCATTCTTTTGGGGCATGAATGGACCATTACATTACATTACTGTATTGACGACACACACAGCTGAACCCAAGAGCACGACAACAGACAGTCTCAGTGTGGTCAACGTGGTTTATTCACCAAAAGAGCAGAGAAAACACAGGCAGAGGTCAAAACCAGGATATCAGTTCATACAGCAAACAAATCTGAAGGGACAGGCAAGAAGGGAATCCAAAATCCAAATGAGGTCGTAGTCAGGCCAGAAACTGGATGGCAAGAATACAGAATATAATGCAGGATAGCTAGGGAGGAACACACTAGACAATCTGGTGGAGAGTGAATGAAACTGACCAGTATAAATACACAGATGAACTAATGAGGGAATGGGGAGCAGGTGAGTGTGTGTGGGGAGACTCAGGTGAAGGGAATAATGCCATTATCGGCTTGTGAGGGTGGCTGGATCTGAAATGACAGAGAGAGATGATTAGAAACAAGGTGTAACGTAGTTACACTAACTCTTAGTTTGTTTTTATTTTTATTTTGGTTCCATGTCTCATCACTAACTCTCCTGTCATTTCAGAGCCTGCCTTTCTTCCCTGCCATGCAATCATCTCAGTTGCCTAACCTGGTTTTCCCCGCCCTCCTCCTCACCTGCAGTCCATTTGCTCATTAGTTCCTCAGTATATATTCCAGTCATTTTCACTGCCAGATTGTCTTGTGTTGTATTTTGCCAAGCTCTCCAGTATTTACACTTTTGCCTTCTTGTTCTGACACTGTTTTGCCTTCTTGAACTTCGGAAGATATATGGGGATGCTGTGGAATACATCATCAGAATTAGGTGACAATTGCTCATGTGGCTCTGTTAGCATTTGTATATTGTTCTGGTCTCCTTGATGCATCAAGTCTACATTAAAATCGTCTGCATAAGACATCAGCTGCTGCCTGAGTTCTCCTTTCACCAGCTTCCTGAAAACTTCCATAACATCCTGGATGTAGACTGGACCCAATCCGTTCACAGCACGGTACGCAATACTAGTGTTTTGAAATGGATGTGGGCAGCCACTGGTAACCAATGAAGGGAGCGGAGTAGTGTGAGTGAATTTAGATAAGTTAAAGACCAGTCAAGCTGCTGCATTCTGGATGAGCACCAGCAGTTGGATAGCACTAGCAGGTAGACCAGCAAGGAGGGAGTTGCATTAGTTTAGGCGTGACCACCAGGTTGACCAGAACCTGTGCCACCTTGATAAGGGGACGTATTTTCTTGATGTTGTGCAGCATGTATCTACACGAGCGGGTTGTTGCAGTAATGGGAGGGAAAGTTGACTCTCGAGTGTCACACCAAGGTTCCTAGCAGTTTGGGTGGGGGCTGAGTTGTTGATGGTAATAGTCAGGTCATGGGTGAGAGAGCCTTTTCCTGGAATGAGTAGGAAAGTAGTTCGGTCTTGTCAAGGTTAATTTTAAGGTGTTGTGCAGACATCCACTGAGAGATGTCAGTCAGACAGACTGGTGAAGATCGAGAAGGTTGTTATGGTGAAGATAGGAGGAGAGTTGATTAAACATAGCAGTGCTTTGGA